AGAACATTCTCTCTCTCTCTCTCTCTCTCTCTCTCTCTCCCCTCCCCTCCCAGAGTGTGGGGATATGAAAGGGAACATGGGTGGTAATGGGAGAGTTCTGTGTTTGACCGTGAATGCTGATACTTGTCTGAAAGTCAGTGGGAATAGAAATATTTTGTTGTTGTTTTTGTTTGTTGTTATCCCTCAATATTACATCCTGGGGATGGTTTAAAATCATGTAGTATTCATAACACACAAGTTCTTTAAACACAACCAGGAGAAAGCTTCTGTCTACACTTTATTGCTTATTAATAATTAACTAAGTAAATGATCTTGATGATGAAGCTTAACGGTTATAGATTTGGCGCTGGTTGTGGTCCTAGTGCCTAGGTTCTCCAGAAGCTGGGAATGGGCGACAGAGGGTGGATCACTAGGTGATTCCCTGTTCTGTTCATTCCCTCTGGGGCACCTGGCATTGGCCACTGTCGGGAGACAGGATACTGGGCTAGATGGACCTTTTGTCTGACCCAGGCTGGCCTTTCTTATGTCCTTAATTATAGTCTAGGCTCCCAGAGTCCTAGGCACGGTACAAACACAGACCATAAACCTCTCTCAGTCCCACCGAGTTTACAATCCGAGTGTAAATGGGAAGTGGAGTGTGACTGGGAACAGGAATATAAACAAGAATATAAATATCAGCCGCACATAATAATCTTCCTTCACTGTAGCCTGAATCCTCCCTCAACTCTCCCCTAAAAAAAACCTCCCAGACACGTCGCTCTCGGCCCACTAATGTCAAGGAGGCTTCACTGCAAAACCTTAACTCCGTCCTCAGACTCCGCCCCCCAGCTTCTCCCACCTGCACCCACAGGCGGGACCCAGACCCGGTGCAAAGCACGAGCCAGGCTTGCTCAGATCACATCCCTAGTGTCATGGATCATTTCAATGTAGCCGGTCACTGCTGGGAAGGGAAAGGGGCTTCCGTCCCAAATCCCTCCCAGCGCCCTGGGAAATCTTCCCTCTCCAGCGGGTGGCGCAGCCCAATGGATCCCTGGGACACGACCCCTCCCCAGACACTGACCCCCCCCGACCGGACGTTGCATGGCCCCTGTGCGCGTGGAACGGGGCTCCAGAGCTGAGTCTCCCCAATCCCCAATATCACCTCACGATAGCCAGGCCCTCAGTTCCTGGGTGAGGAAATACAGTCACTGCAGGGAGCTGGTCATTCCTCCCAGGGGTCAGAAAGTGTCAGGAGGACCCAGCGCCCTGTGCCCGGCGCTGCACAGACACACGGGACGGGACAGTCTGACTCCTGCACCCGGAGCCCTAGGGCGAGTCAGTCAGATGACTGGCAGCAGGAGTGTGTGTCTCTTATAAAGCGGGGACATGCAAATGAGGGAGACAGTTTCCTGTTTAAATCTGTGCCTCTCTCTGACAGGCTGCACCTGGAGACACAATCCGCAGCCCCTGGGTCTGTGCAGTGACCAGCCAGTCCCCTGAGAACTTTCCCCTCCAGCACCCGGGAAAATGGGATTTTTGCTCCTTGTAATTTTCGCTGTAGCAGCGTTGGAAGGTATTTTCCTCCTCTGAATAACTGGCAGAATTAGATGAATATTATGTTACCGCTGTTTTTATACTGATATTAATGGTCTGTCTTTATTCCCAGGTGTCCGGTCCCAGGTGCAGCTGGTGGAGTCTGGAGGGGATGTGAAAAAGCCCGGAGACTCTCTCCGCCTCTCCTGCAAAGCCTCCGGGTTCACCTTCAGCAGCTACAGGATGCACTGGGTCCGTCAGGCTCCTGGGAAGGGACTAGAATGGGTCGCTATCATATACCCCGGTGGGAGTACTATATACTACCTTGATTCCGTCAAAGGCCGATTCACCATCTCCAGGGATGATTCCAAGAGTGAGCTGTATCTGCAAATGACCGGCCTGAAGCCCGAGGACACCGCCCGCTATTACTGTGCGAGAGACACAGTGACACGAAACTGGTTTGTGATCATACAAAAACCCAGGCTGCGGAATCGCCCTTCTCCTGGCAGCCGCGCGGGGGCAGCAGTGACACACACACTGTTTTGGGCTTGGAGAGGAGACTGTCAACTGGGTGATTGTAACACAAACCTCCCATCAGTTTTAACCCTTCTGTTCCCGGGCAATGTGTCTCCCCTTCCTGCCCAGAGCCCCGCTGGGCCTGCGGTGCAGAGATCCCTCGCTTCATCAGTGAGCCCCAATCTGGAGTGTGTCCTGTTCTGAGTCGCTCTCCCCTCGCAGACCTGGCACGTTGGCTCTCCCGGGGCCTGTCTCTGTGTCAGACTCACAGGACAGCATCTGTCAGTGTAAAAGGGACAAGCGCATTGGGGTTTGCATCAGACCATCCAGCTTTTTTCCGCCCCAAGTGGCAGAGCGGCAATCCGGCGGCGGGTCCTTCGCTCCAAGAGGGACTGAGGGACCCGCCCCCGAATTGCTACCGAAGATGAGGACATGCCGCCCCTTTCCATTCCCCACCCCAAGCACCTGCTTCCTTTGCTGGTGCCTGGAGCCGGCCCTGTTCCTGGGGCCCTGTTCATAGCCCAGCCGCAGGCCGCTCACCCCGCTCAGAGCCAGCTCCGGGCTTCAGCTTCCCATCCCGCCTGGGGAACGAGCCGCCAGCCGCAGACATGACCCCCAGCCTGGCCATCGCCTTCCTCCTGCTGCTCCCAGCGCGTACGGGCGGGATCTGCGCTGCCAGGGGCTTTCCCTACACAAGCGGCGACCCCAGTTTGAGAAACACTGCCGTAGTCTGATCTCCTGCATAATACAGGCCACAACACGGATTCCGCGTTCTTCCACCACTGTCAGAGATACAGTCAAGCAGGAGGGCCAGGATCTCTCAGCCTTTGGCACTAGAACCCACCACTTTTGTTTGATTTATTTTGTTTTACGTTTTTGTTTGTTTGCTTTTCTGGTTAATTGAATGATTTTTCAGCCAACGTGGGCTTTTTTCTGGCACAAGGAGCATTTTCCTAGGAGCAAAAAAAACTTGGATTAAAAGAATAAATAAGCCCCAAAATATTTATTTTCTGCTTTAAATGAAAATACAAAAGGGGGGTCAATGAGAGAAGGGGGGCTGCAGAATCCCCTTCTCCATTCCCCACCAGGGAGAGCAATGAGAAAACAGCACAGCCTTGGGGACAAGACTGAAGAGGGGCTTTGGGGGTTGTGAACCGTAACTTTTTCAACTCTGTACCTACATACACGACTCGTTTGCACATGGAACTTGCCGGTGCCCTTCCCAATACCGGATTTACCATGGCGCCAATGACGCCATAGCACCAGGCCCAAGCTCACAAGGGGCCCATAACACTCCCTTCCTCCCCTCTTGCAGCGCTGCAGAAAAGGAGCCTGGGAGCAGCAGGGATCCAGTGTGGGAGCTGAGCACCCACGGGGCCCTGAGAACTGTAGTTCCTTGGCCCGCTCCCTGCCTACAGTGCTGGCCCTGGAGCAGGGAAGGAACTACATTTCCCAGCATTCCCTTGGCCGCTATCAACAGGAAAGGGAGGAGGAGGGAGTGGGGAAGCTGAGACCCCATGCACTGCAGATTGCTGGGATAGGGAGCTGGCTGCTAGACGGGGGTGACGGTGTGAATGGGGCACAAGTGTGCCCAAGGAATACAAGGCTTTGCCCCAGATATCACCCTCAGGGGACTCCCCAGACTGGATTAGGGACACTGGTGTGACCTCGCCTGGCAGCCCCCAAAGAAGGAACTGGGTGGACTAAATGGACAGTGCCCCTCTCTGTCTGAAGCCTGGCAAGGGAGGTGTGTGGATCCCACCAGAGGGGAGGGGAGGCTCTGCTAGGACCTGGGCAGCTTTAGATACAGTACCAGGCACGTAGGAGGATTTCCACTTCTGAGCCATGGAAGCAGAAATTGACTTTTCCTTTCCAGATTTAGCCAATATTCGGAAAGGGAATCTAGCACCTGCCTTCCAGATTTGAACACCTCAACATTCAGGAGTGCTCAAGCTCAGTTTGGGCAGCTGTTACTTCATTTCTCCCCAATCAAATCTACTGATCCACTGGAACTTGCTGTAGAAAAAGTAGGATAAAATTGAGCAAGAAATGCTGGGGTCTTCCCAGTGCTAACTAGGACTGGAATTGCTATTTTCAACAGCCACTACCATTTCGTTTTTAATGTTGTTTGTTTAGAAGGAAGACAGTGATATCGCACTGGCAAATGCCCCATAGAAATGAAGAGTGGAGCAAAAGAATAATAAAGGCACCTCAACTTTTCTTCGTTTATGTAGGACAGTCTCATAATATGGATCCAGATATCCTCCAATCACACAAGCTGAAAATTGTTCCACTTTACTGCAGTTCTGTAACCATGCGGGAACCAATCCTGCCTGTGCACATCCAAAATTCTTACTGAATTCAGAAGTGCCTTGCTTTTGTGACCATCCTGTGATATTTTCAGCCCTTGTAAGTGAAGCCGGTTTACATTTAGTAATTGGGCAGGAGGCCTCTCAGAAAAAGTTAGGTGCTGTAGGAGGTGTTGCTTATTCACTAGGTAATGTGAGACCTTCCTGTTACAATAGGAAACCAGTGCAGCATAGAATTCACTTTGCTCCTAGAGTCTAGAATGGGATCTTTGCTTCTCCACACAGCCCATTAAAGACAATGAAAAGACTCCCACTCACTTCAACAGGCTTTGGACAGGACTGGTTATACCCAGGGTAACTCCACTGGCTTCACAGGTCCTGGTCCCACAGCGGAGGGGGGGCATGTGAGCTTGTTGCAGAGCTGCTGCTCAGGGACGGGCACGCCCTGGAACCCCAGCCTCCAAAATCATTCAGGCTGCACTTTCTGCACGACTAAGTGCTAGCTCAGGGGTACGTGGGAATTGGTGGCCTCTGCTGCAGGTGATGGGCATCTCAGGTACTTAAAGCCTTGGCCTAGAGGAGGGAAGCGCCTAACTGCAGAGTCTGCAGCTGCCTAGGGCCAGCGCTGAGGATTTAGAGTCCCTAGTGCCGCCGTTGCAAGGTTCTCCCACCTGTTTATGCTCTCTGTATGTGTGTATATATATCTCCTCAATATATGTTCCATTCTATATGCATCCGAAGAAGTGGGCTGTAGTCCACAAAAGCTTATGCTCTAATAAATTTGTTAGTCTCTAAGGTGCCACAAGTACTCCTGTTCTTCTTTTTATTATAATTCCTGAAATTCTCTCCTTTTTCCAGGTGTCTATGCCCAAACCCAGCTAGTCCAATCCAGCCCGGGAGCGTCGAAGCCCGGAGAGACCCTCACCTTGTCCTGCACCGGGAAAGGACTGAAGTGGCTGGGACAGGGATATTACAGCAATTCCACCTGGTACACAAACTACGGCTCATCTTTCCAGAGCCAAATCACCATCTCCCCTGATTCCTCCAAGAACCAGGTCTCCCTGCATCTCCCTGACAGCTGCAGACACCGCCACCTATTACTGAGCCAGGCAGACACAGTGACACAGGGCAAAGCAGGGACCCGGACAAAAAGGGGGAGTGGATTCTGACCAGACTATCAGGCCTCTTCCTTGCTGTCATTTATTTGTGTAGCGAAAGGG